CAATATTATGTTTAGTTTTCAAATTATTATTTGTTAATGAGTAAAAAAATAAGGGAATATCTGATTTGGTTGAAATTAACTGAAGTGATTGTGTTTTGTTTTGACATGTAGGGTTTTGCGCGGAGAGGTTTTTTAGCTGTATTTATTAAGCCACTGCAAAATTAATAAACGTACCATTTGGCTATATTTTTTTGAGTTACAAGCTGCAGTAAAATAATGTAACAAGATTCTCCAATTCTATGTTTCCAGTCTTCTCAGGTTGGAGGAAAATTTACCAAAATCCGATTAATCGCAAAACTTAGACTCATCAATCAAAATATAACTTGGTGTTCTTCATGGCAGTCGCGTCTACCACCAATTTCTCCCAATCAAATTAAATCGTGCATTAATTTCTTTACAGTAGAAGCGACGTCTGTTTCTAAAAACCAATAATATTTAATTTCACCTTCGCCCCGAAACAATCAATATGAAGATAACCCTATAACGTGTATGGTTTTCATTAATGACGGGGTGTTTTCAGGGATATGTAGGAAATTTTTGCGGACCCCTACAAATAAATTAGAGAGATAAAATCTAACATTAACTTAGTAATAATTACATCCATGCAAAATTCGTATAGTGATGGCTTTACCATCCATTTACTTACTTTGTTCTTGTGTTTTGACTAACAGAAGAGATGCTTTGCAGCAGCCGTGGTCACGGGGAGTGTCCCCGAAGCAAAAAGCATCAAAAAGCGAAAGCATCCGAAACGTCGGGTCAAAGTTAAAAATCATTTTCAAATAAGTTTAACTAATATATCGCGTTTTAAACCGTTAAAGTGTTTTATTTAAATGTGTACTACTCGCGTAAACTATAGACAGTATTTAATGACTGAACGTTCAAATTATTAAAATAAATATACACTCTCTACGGAACCGACCACGGCAAGTAAAGGTGAGCCTCGTGGCCGTTTTTCCAGGAATCGTTTAATATTCAGACACCTGCCTACCGTGCTCTGGGCGAATTTGATCAATCATTCAAATGAGCTTGAATTTGTATTTTATTGGAAGCGCGCGAAACACGGGCCGAGCCAATTTTGTTGACATATTGGGAAGAAATAAGCCAATTCCCCCGCTACGGCCTAGGCGACGCTTTCTATATTATTTCTATTGTCATCGACTGTGCATAATTTCAGCTATTTTGGTCAGACTTTATATCTATTGTTTTATTTCAAGTATTGTAAAGCTTTTCTAGAAATTTCGATCTGGGTCGTATTTTTGAAAATGGGTGAATTTTTCGAATCGATGATTTTTTTAAACCTATTGAAGAGAACGTGTCGCTAATGCACAGAGACAGCTCCGTATTATGGCCCATCAGGGGAATCCTCAATTACAAGGTTATCTATTGATTTATTTTATGACTTATTATTAATTGATTATTTAAGGTTAGTTATTGACTTACTAGTTTTGTTTATTGTAATAATAAAACTTATTTATTCGCAGTTTTAATTATCAAATAGGCTTCGTGGACGGCGTTCGCAGTGATATTAATTTCATACGCTGTAATCGGGCGATCTCAGGGATTACAGCCCGTTTCTCTCGGATTACGAGTCTCATTCAATGCGATGTTCGTTATTTGTTATCAAAGAGCTTTTCAATTGTTGATCCTGCTTAATTAATATTAGATTTAGCAAAAGTCAATTACGGTATTAACATTTCAACAATTCGTTTCCTTAAATGCTACTTAATTAAAATATTTTGTGTAGACTTAGTATATTCTGTAGCATGATATCGTTGAAACGGATAGCTAATTGTGTAAAAATGTATCGATAAATATCTTAAAATTGTTCAAAGTTGCCGAAAGATATTTCGCGGATACTTATTAATTTCTTATTTGGACTCTTTGGAGTCTACTTTTATCTTATAAAGAATTCACTTTTTTTTTCATTTTAATTTACTATCGTTAACTCGAACGGGTCTTAATAATAGAGTAGTAATATAACATTTAATTCTCAAAATCCGTTTATTTTAAGAAATAATCAATAACATAAAGTAAGTAGTACTACATATTAATAACAAACCGCCCTTTTTGTACAGAGAGTATAGACAAGCTGTCAAAACAGGAGAGCCTCGTTGGTGTCTACCATTACACCACAATGTATGATTAATAATCAACGGGCTCAACAAAAAATTAGTCGTGGGTTCCATCCCCACCGGCTCCGACATTTTTATGATCAATTTATAATTTTTCTGAAATATGTTGGACTTTGTCTGGAAATCTGGATTTTATATATCGTCCACAGATAAAATTATGTGGATTTCCGAATATCCAAATCCAAAATAGATTGACAGCGCATCTTGTTGTGTTGTTCTATAGCTGGAGTATACTCCGTAAGACTAGAAGAAAGGTAAGGAGCACCACAGACCTCTTAAACATTTTTTGTCGTTATAGAGTCACATCTAACGCGTACATTGCAAACCATAATCCACCTTACTCAATCGAGCAATATGTAAGCAATCTATATTTAAGGTGCAATGGATTCTTATTTCGGTTCACCGCAACAGTTTTATTGCTTGTAAACACATCCGACTGGCAGTTTGTTTGTTCTTCAGTTATAGCTTTTAGGGTTAGTTCAAACTTACGAATTTTGATCCAGACTTTTTCTTATGAGACTCTATTACTAATAAGATAAGAATTTGACCCGATCATTCAAAACATATTTTTTGGTGTTTACTTTCATACAGTAGTTCAGAATTTGGATTTTTTGGAAAAGTATTATAGACGTAGGTTTACACATAATGCATATTGAAATAAAACACATAAAACTATGTTAAGTGGCGAAAGTAACTTATTTTTTTTTACTACCACCCGATCGGATGCTTCAGTCGGGTGCCATATTATATACGTAGAATGTTTAAAGTTTACTAAAGCTATGTAAATAAAACACGTTCTACAGTTAAAAACCCAAAATTTTATAATTGTCACGGTGGCAAGTGTTTTATTTGAAGTTATGCATGTGAATTACACAATATTGGATTTACTGACGATTTTTTTTCGATTTTGTTGTTTTTATTTTTTTAACTAAAGTCGCTGTCATAGCCCTTCGGACGATGAAGTGGCAGTGGTCTGGACGCATCACTCGTAGAACTGAGGGGCAAAAAAGTTCTGGAGTGGAGACCATGTACTGGAAGGCGATAACTCCTTACCGGGTGAACCGATGACCTGGTCAAGGTAGCGGAGAAAACTCTGGATTCAACTAGCGAACGACTGGTAAAACTGGAAGTCTTTGGAGGAGGCCCATGTTCAGCAGTGGACATCGAACGGCTGAAACTGAACATTTTATTAGAAGGATCGTTCAAAAGACCAAACTGCCTTCTGACAGATTCAATGTCGAATATATTTTTGACGTTCTGGGTTATTACCAAGTCGGATATCGGCGTGATTCGATTCGAAATAGATTCAGATAACTCGGATTATGTTAAGAATAGCTCAATCGTATTTCGCTACTCTCGTGTGCGTTATTTATAATCTTATAAATATTGCAATAAAACGGATTGAATATCATAATGTGTAAATAAATACAAGGATATTTACCTTTTATATTTATATTACAGTATTAGTAAAATGTTTTAAGCGAATTTGTAACCGTCGAGGGAACCCCGATTAGAAATGTTTAAAAACCATTAACATCAAAGAAGATTTAAGATTACCACGAACTGTCACTGCAAGTCTTATTTTTTCTAGAACGCGCTTACTTTTCAAAACATAAATTATCTTTGCTTAAACATTTTCATAACATTGAAGAAATTAAATAAAACACTTCTATGTTTTGATATGAAAAGTGTTCGCAAATATACCATTTACATAAGCAACATATATAAATAAGTTAAACCAATGACTTATTAAATATGAATAGAAACTCGCATATGACCTTCTAAGTAGTTAGGGCAGAGCATAAAATATCAGTTTTGGATGTCTAAGTTGTTGTCATTATCCCAAAAAACAATAATGGGTCCTGCAGCGCAAAAAAATAAGTTCTTCAGAAGAAACAGATTATTTGGTGCGGAACTAATCATAGATTGAGAGCATCTTACACATTTTCATAACAAAACGCATGAGAATATTTCGTGAGAATTTCCACGATGTTTCCAATTAGAATAATTATGTTGGTTTGTTGCAAATTTGAAGTTAGCAACCCTAAGTTCTGAGCAAAGATGTTGTAAGTAATTATATCTTCGGTTGTTTGTTAGACCCATATAATTACGGAGTCTGGGTCAGTTAAGTTTACGCGCGCAAAACTTTATACGACTTGTTTCTACATAGATTAATATTTTTCTAACAGACGCTGTAAGTGTATACTTCTTTAAAAACGTGTATAGTAGTTGAGTAAAATATGTAATTTATATAATCTCTTATCTCAGGTGAAAACATGCAAAACTATCATAATTGTGCCCGTCACGAAGCTTGAAATATCTTTTTTTAATGTAACAGGCCTTTTTTATTCAAAGAATACACAACAACAAAATAAGTCAAGCAAAAAGGTAATCTGAACTTGTGATAAAGGAATGAAAACGTGATGTATATTTTAATAAGTATATATGTTTATTAACTTGCATTAGCGCTGTGTAATCTTAAACGTTTGTACGAGTAATACACCTTACTTATATATACTTGAGTGTTGTTTTAGCGAGACTCAAAACCAGTCTCAAATAATCTTTGACGCGAAGTTACCATGCGATACGGTACTATACAGCTTGCGTTACTCTCAACATCTCAAAACCGAATGGGGGTTTGACCCAGACGGTCGTTTCTTTTTCCTTTTTATTTTGTTTTATCGTCTGTACCGACTTGCGCAGATAATTAATCCGCTAAACACCACAGACAAAACAAACTACGAGACCATATCATGCGATGTTATTAAAAAAGTTTTTACAATTTTGAGGTGCTGTATTTGCCTTAGTGTTTTACGAGTTAGTTTAATAAATATTAGTATTTGTAAAGTTTGCGTGAATACCTGTGATATGAATGGGATTGTTGTGGATGCGGAGTGCGGCGCAGAAATGGCGGGAAATGTTGACAGGTGAGTTACAGATGACAAATTAAAAAGAAAACAAGTTATTGCAACATCGGACGTGTACAGTTACGGAAAAGTTATGCCATTGGAATTTTAATTAATCGCTAACGTTATCGGCGTAACGTTTTAAAACAACGTAGTATATATTGTTTTATCTCTTTTATTGGTAAAAAGTTTATCAGATTCATTTGACAAGAAAAGTTTTACATTAAACCCGAATCTGACATATTTTTAGAAATTGTATGTAATAAATGTAAGAATAGTCAATATTTATATATATTCAAAACATTTTAAACATTCAATTTTATATGCACGTAATATTATTTTACGATCAACAAGTTTTATTTATTTTTATGATACTTGCAGTTAAATTTCCGAAATATCTCGAATTGAAAATGGGTAGAAAGTAAAAATACACAAATTATCAATACCAGGGCTGATATTATAATTCGTTTTACAGGTTTTAGTGTATATATTTATTTTTAAATTATTTCGTAAGTACAATAATTTATAACAGATTTGATAATGTATTTTTACCACTCAACTCACGAATTATAGTACAACAGAAACAGACACAACGTACCACGTATTCAAAAGAGTTGGGTCGTACAATACATTTACATTATATATACAATACAATACAAATAAATACAATGTATAAATGATTAAATAAATAAAACAAAATACAATAATGTCATATGAAAGCGATTTGTAAATGATTCAGGTTGTTTAGGTACAGTAGTTCTCAACTAGGGCTGTCAAGTATCTATATTTTTCAATAAAAAGACTTTGTTTATATGTATTTTTTACACAGTTTGGATGATTTTTTAATTTAAAATAACTCACTTACCGGTCGGGGTAAAACGTTTTAGAGTACCTATCAGGTAATTTAATGATCGCCGGATTAAAATGTCATTAGCTTTAAAATGCCATTTACAACTTACTTTTAAAAAACTCTTTTAAGGTTATAAATTTATAAGCTTAATTCTTAGAAGGCTGTATTTTGCTAAAAAATATTACCAACCCCACTTAGAGTAGTGAACGTCAAAGTGGTCTGAAGTGCGTTGTGTACAAATCGTTATCTGCAACAGACAGAAGGAAGCTTTCATACATTGTATAGTGTATATTCACAACAATAAAAGGCTTTTTACGTCTGAGCAAATATGCTCTTCAGCTGTGATTCAAAACAATTAGATAACAAAGTGTTCTTCATCAAATGTGGATGGATTCTGCTTTGTGTGTAATTAGGTTTCTATTAGACGCAGTTTTGCTGGCAGTTTATTATGCACTGTAAAGAGTAAAGTGCTTTGTTCAATTGTCAACATAAAATTAAAATTGTTGTATTGTCAGTGTCTGACATATGCATACGAAAAGAATTGATTTTTCCGATTCCATCAATCCCACTCTTGTATCCCTGCTGAGACAAATATTTTTTCCGTTTTTTCTCACATTTAATGTAATAAGCCACCAGTATCAATATTAAGGGCTAATTATAGATTGTAACTATAGGGTTACACGTACATAACAACGGTTAACCTTTTCGAACGTATAGATATGGATTTATAAAACATACACCCACCAGATTTCCACCTTTATATTATGAAAATATAAATTTTTTTAACATCATCCCGACGTTTCGAATGCATTGCAGCAGCCGTTTTCAAGCCGGTAAAAGGTTTATTTAGTGAGTACTATAGACAATGAATATATGAGTCTTAAATAAAACACTTTAACGGTTTAAAACGCGATATATTAGTTTAACTTATTTGAAAATTATTTTTAACTTCGGCCCGACGTTTCGAATGCTTTGCAGCAGTCGTGGCCAGCAGCAGTGGCTGATTAAATGTGTCTAAATGTGAACTACTCACGTAAACTATAGACAGTATATATGAGGCTGTTAGAGGCATAGCGGCCTAATAAGGAGGAAAATAAAAACGTCTCTGTGCTCTTGTAGATTAACATTATTAGACTATAAAAATATAAATAACTCAAGTCACAAAATTGCAATTAGGCTACCCAGTCTCTAGCGACTTCATATTATAACGAGCACTATATAATATTGTCATCAATAGATAATAAGTCGTAATTTATCTAAATCCGTATCCGGTTAAAAATGGTAAACAATCATAAAGATATAAGTGCAGTATCTGTTATTGGTAAACAAAGCACTGACAACGCTGAAGATTGATGGCATTTGACCTGAGTCTTGACGCGCATGTTCGAGCTAAAAATAACTTGACGAAGTACGTATTGGGATATATGCTTAGAAATATTATAAAGCTGATGTGTATGCTTGGTTACTGCTTCATAGCGTTTAGGTTATTAAGATTGGTTGTGAATAATGAAAGCGGATCCTCAATGAGAAATGTTGCAAAAACCGAGGGAAGTTGTTTCAGCTTTCGGTGCAAAGACAGCTCATGTGAGGTATTTCAAAATCGTTTAGTATTTTTTAATTTGAAAAAAATCTGCGACAGAATAACTATTTTTTAAAAGTTGGTTCAGATAAAACAGATTTCGCAGAAATACTAAGAAAAATATTGTTTGTAGTCAATTGACCTAGAGCATATGAGATAACTTTTAACGGTTTAAAACGACTATTATGTTAGTGACTTGCCGCATAATATACGAAACTTCGGCCCGCAAAAATCAATTTCGCTTGATCGTATCACACGATACCTACAGCTAGGTATTAAAGACATAATCTACAAAGATATGTAAATATGTTTTTGTCTGTCTTGTACGTCGTGTCGCCGAGATATTAATTCACTTCCCGTGTCGCAGCCTCGACCTCACGTGCCTTATCCCGAATCGGTGATTCGCTCATTAACTGTTTGCCATAAATGGCTTCACATGCAGCTAAGTACTAACCGTGCTATTGGTGATTAGTATATTAAAAAGTGTATTAATTAACAGCAGAGCTAAGTGTATGAACGAGGTTTCAAGAAGTTGCCTAATAATCAACGGGTCGTTGGTTCGATCGTCGCCGACTTTGAGTCAATCAATTTATAACTTTTCTGAGTGTGTGAGAGAGAGAGAGAAATACATTTATTTACCACCAAAAGCCACACAACATCATATATAAGCCTTATTATTACTAAATTTAAAAATAAAACATAATTTAATCTTAACAGTAAAACGAAATATCCGAGCCTTGGAGTTTAATCATATTTTGGCTTCAGTCTCTGTTACACAAAACAGGTTACCATACCATTAAAGAACAAACTAGTAAGTGACTTACTAGTGTCCTAACCGCTATACCAACGAGGCAGTTCGTTCTTTAGTGGAGTATAATCCAAATGCGCACTTAGACGCAACATTAGCAGCGTGTACCTGTCCTCATTGTAGTCCTCAAGTTATATTTCTTCGCCCACACGCCTTCGGCCCACACGGGACGTTTACACAATTGTTTTAGTGACGCTTTGAATAAATTAGACAACCTTATCTACAGGTAACGAATCGATCGTTGCAAATCCTAATCCGTTGTTTTAACGCTGCAAGAATAAATAACTCTTAGGAAATTATAGGATTTCAATTATTTTCAATATAAATATAAAATGTATGTATAAGGAAAGTAAATTAGGAATAAAGTACTTTAAGGACACAAATAATATAGGAATTGATTATGTATTTTTCCCTGGGATTTAAAACTAGGGCCTTGCGCTTAACCACTGGGTAGACCACCTGAAGGTCTCCTAATAAGTCTCAAATTACCGCGTTGTTTCTAAAATAACGAAGAACGAGAACAGACTTTAAAATAAAAGCCGCAAAATAAAAATATAATCGCTTGTAAATGTCCATAATGTACTTTGTTTTAGTTTTCAAGGCCTCGTGTCTTATACATATTAATTGCTGTAAATTACTTAAAACTCGCGTGCGAAGAATAAACATTAACGCGTTTACGTAACTAATTTACACTAAGACTACGATCTGTGTGTCATTTTAACGCCCTTACATAAAGTAATAAACAGCCTAAATAATTAAAAATTCTATCCCAAGTCACTATTCCACGCGAACGAAGTCATGGGCACAGCTAGTATTTAATATTCTTACTGAGTACCTGTCGCGTAAACTACAATTACAAGTAAAGAGCTAAGTATATTAATTTAATTTAATTTAAATAATTTAATTTTTTACATGTTAATGTATTTGAATACCTTTTCAGAAAATTGTCAAAAGGCGATCGTAGGCTCGACTACTTTCTTAAGAACTAATGATATTTTGTCTACAGACACAAATTGGCGAACTCAAGATTTCACATATAATGCTGTATTTGTATATTGATTTTAGTCCTTAACCACGCACATCACGATTTGTTTACTAAACTCCTTATCACGCACGTATTCGACGCAAATTGACGATAACTCGACACGTCGTGGATTTGATTCCTGTCTGTTATAATGATAACTCTTCAAGTTTGCCCACGTTTCCACAATGACGACAGTTCAACAATATTAATTTGTTTTTCAGTTTTTTCGTACCAAAAGTGAGTAATTACAAAAGTTGGAAAGTTAGTAATGAAAAATTTGTTTTCAAGTAAAATTGATAAAGATGGCATTTTGACAAAATGGACTTGAAATTATTAAATTGTGCTTTATTATTCCGTTAAATATTATTCGTTTTAATAACCAGTACAGAACAGTAATACGATGCGATCTCTTAAGATTCAATCTGGTCCCCATTATTTATGTTCATTAGACTTTGGTGTCCCCATAAAGGTAGTAAGAGCCAAGTTGTTTGCACGACGAACCCGCATCGAAAGCTATCAACATTTATCGGCAGTGACTGTGGCCCCGGGGAAGTGAATAATTAACTTGCAAATAGAAACCGGCGTTTACGCCGACATCAGTGTACTATTTGCATATTTATGGGTCGTCTCTCGGCGTCTCGTTATATCGCAAATATCACTTACAAGTTACAAATTGTGTGACTAGCGCTTTCACGCGTGCTTGCACGCACGTAGGGTAGTTTTAAAAAGTATAAGAGAAGAGCAAAAATGAGGGTTCACT